TTCACGCACCAAAGTCCGGCTCGTACATACACAAAATTGACTTTACACACCGGACTTAGGGGGTGTTTTCAAAAGGAGGGAACACGCATATGCGTACCCTAAATAACACTGAGTGGGGGGTCGGGATGTATGCATTGACTACATCTCGCCTTACGTGATGAAACTAAGTACCTATTTGAGACATGAATTTAATATCATAGGTATACGTTCATATAACAAAATTATATAAAATCATTTTTAATGGAAAGTCGTTTGATACTGATAGAACTTCATAGTAATGACCACTTCAACGATGTAAATATTGACACAAGGTCTGCATGAGGTTATCTGTTATAAAAGTTGTGTCTTCGTCAGTGAATTTGTATAAAAAGCATGCAAATACAAATCTGAATGAACCATGGAAATTTGTGACCTGACTACGACTCAAGTTTTAAAGAAAATATTACTGGAACTAGATATTTTTCCTGAATGGTGACACGATCGTCTTTCTTGCGAGAAGCACACTCAACTTCCAACATAACAACAACAATAACAACAGTAATACTACTACTACTAATAATAATAATTATGATAATAAGGGTAATTACAATAATTGGATTTTGCTTAAAATTTGAAAATGAAATTTTTAAACGAAGTTGTTCATTTTTAGGCAAGATGATGACGATGATGATGACGATGATTTTGTTACCTGACTGCTTAGTAAGCATGTATATGCTAGTAAATTTAACAACCAGGGGACCGACGGCTTTAAGTTTGTATATTTTATGATTTGATTTCTTAATAAAAACATAAATAAAACCAAAAAAAAGTATTACACACAAACAAGGTACCTTTTAAACAGTCTAACACTCCCGAGACGATAGCTGAGGGTGTTAGGACTGTTTGAAGGTATAGTATGGGTAATTTTACTAATGCCCGAACAAAATGATGTGCATTTTTTGTTTTATAAGATTATTTTTTATTTGTTCATTATAAAATTATGTTTTATAACATGATTTTACTAATGACCGGTCATTAGCATTTGATAATGACCAGGCATTATCAAAATTACGTGTTAGGCACAATAAATGCCTAGTCACGTGTACGCTCTCAACCAATCATTTGATTAGGATCCACGTCATCATCTTATGGTCTCAGTTAATAAATCACACGTGACCGCGCATGACCAATCATTTGATTAGGATCTGGGAGTGAGTTCGATAATATTGACAATACTTTTCCTTCCCGTGCCCTCTCCTCTTGACTGTACACTAGACATACGTTTAATTCCAATTGCTATCCATCTATCGGAACACTCTCCCTACTCATGTTGGAGAAAGCATTTCCTTCATATGAAATTACCAGACATAATCATATTCACAGATACTAGAGATCAATGACGACATACAAACAACCATCTGACTCGGGGTTTGTGGGATAAATAGCTAAGAAGCTATACAAATCACAAATCACCAGGGTGGAAAATGTGGGGGAGCGAGCGATTCACATAATGAAGATGAATGAAAATTGTCTTCCGGAACGGTTTCTCTGAAGCAAACAACCGTTTTCAACAAATTACATTTTGAACGTTACAATTTTCGAAAATCAATATCATACGCACTCTACCTTTCAGATCCAAGCATTGGAAATGAGATTAGTGCTGATTAGTCGATGGAATAATATGAATGCTGTAGCAGTGGTATAGTGTGGATCCATCCATTGAAGGGAACTGGTGCATGGGAGGGGGGGGGGGGCTGAGGCACAGTTTTCCCCTTCGATTAATGAAACGCGAGAAATATATAACCATTCCATTAAATGGGGGAACTACAGGATGTCGTGTCGATTTTTTTTTTTTTTACTCTTTGAGTTGTTTCTCGCTGCCTCCAATATTTTTTTTATTTCGTCATCCAATGGGGATGATGAGGGGAATAATTATACATCTGGTAAAAGGGTGTCAACCAACTCCTCTGCCTTTTTTCACGAGCATTTAAATTGATTTTCGAGAGGACAAAACCCGACGAGGCCATTCTTCTTAGTACCAATGTGACATTGGGTGTGGGAGATTCGTGCCATCGATTATCATATGACATATTTCAGTGGCTAAATGTATCAACCACATCGTCATGATATCCAATTAGTTGCCTAGGATACATGGTGTTGTGTGTGTCGTAAATCATACACAATCATGCAGTCAATATTCTTCTTTGGCTTGGTGTATGATGCGGGAGCAAAATATTTTGACGGATGAGGGGTCGTTGAACCAAATTAGCCCGGAAAGCTATTATTTTATAGTGTGAAATTATAATGGCAGTAAAGGATGACGCAGGCTATCTCTTAAAAGAGCCTATCCGAAATGAAAATGAAAAATATGAATTATATATCAACGGAAAGCTTATGGGCCATAGATAACAATGAGACCGATTATATGCCATTTTAGTGTCCGTCAGAGGAGTATCAGCTCTCTGAAAACTCAAAATCTAAAGCTGTGAAAATCGATAGTTGGCGACCTAAAAACTTGATATCGACTTGATGACATCATCTTATGTGAAGTACGCATATTCACAATGACTTTGCATTAAATAAGCACGGCTCATCGCCTCAGCTTTATAGGTAAACCGATCGGGTCCACATGTTATGTCATCACTGTAACTTCGGCAAATTTGATCCATGTTCACCCGTAATTTTTTTTTTTTTTTTTTTGGGGGGGTGCGGAAAATTAGGCTTTAATTTGGTTTTGTGCAATAAGGAAAGGGTGAATAATTGTTATTCCTTTGTATTTGTATCCTACATTCATTCAGTTTTCCATTTATATAAAGTTGTATTTTTATCGGATAGGGTGTTTAAGCATTCGTCCTCACCAGACTTCTTCAAGTTGATATTTAATCTGAAACAATTAAGAGAAGATATGATATTCCCAACTTATGAAAACAATATGTTATCTTTTATGTTACGGAAAAATTATGTTGAAGATACTATGTCCCTTTTGCAGCCAACATCAAATTCTGTGGAACACTGCAGGAATTATGAATATGTTTTGTTTAAAAATTAACAGTGTCCTAGTATTCAAATTATGCAATTGAGTGACTGACTGACATTTTTTTCTTTCGTAAAAACATAGCCTACATAAAATGAGCTGTAACATGTACATGATCGTTTGTCTACATCAATAACCCACTACTTATAATGGCCAAAATTAAAGTGATTGAATGTTTGAGCAGCACAAAACGTACGACTATTCAGTAAAAGGGTATGGAAATCAGACTATCCGTTAGGTGATTGCAATCACTTAAGTCGATTCGACAACTAATGGTCAGTATTTTCCCACTAAAAGCAATTTTCAAGCCCTTTCGTTTTGGGAGAAGTTCTAAATTAGTATTGTCTTTCAAACAAATGCCGTTGGAATTTAACATTTTTTTCTTTATGGCCTGCAAATGGGACATAGTACCTTTAATTTTCATAGCAAACTCAAAATGTGGAGAACTACCTTTTACCATTGGTGCTTGCTCAAATATCGTACCCGAACTGTAGCCAACTCTGCGCAGAATTTAACCGATGGCTTGTTCTAATTTCGATTTATTATTACATTTAACATCTTTTTGCTAACATAAAAGACAATAACGTTTTCCCCATGAACAACAAGAGACGGTCAGAAAGAAATGAATCAACATACAATAACATTGCATGTTGTAAGGTAAGGCAAATCATCATGTTTTTCCTACCTAACAACATATACTGTCTGCAATTCGCATTCTGTATTGAACTTCAATTATTTGTAACAGGTGAATGAAATAATTTGTATCGACGCACCTCACAAAGACGTATGCATTAAATTTGGTTACATGACGAAAATAGCCTATTGATTTTAATTTTGTGACGATCGGCTTATATTATGTATTCAATAATTACTGCAAATGTTTATTGACTTTACATCACGATGCCTCAAGGCTAGTAGACGGAATGGATGAATAGATACCGATTTTTTTTCCAGTGGGAATTCAACTGTTTTTGACATTTTAAATAATTAAAATATAATGGTCAATTTGTTTATGTATTCACGTCTTTCGAAAAGGTCTTGTACAGTTCATCATAATGTTATCGTAGATTATAATGTAACAAGAAGACCAACAGTATTGTCTTTAAAATGCTACCCAGTGAAAATAGATTTCATAAAAAGATTTGATAAAAAGATAATTCATGAGGTGAGAATGGTACGCATTTTACATTTAAAATGTATCTGTACAGTCATGATTAATTTATTCTTTAAACAAAATAGCAGCCAGATTTAGTAAATCACAATGTGTTTCATTATTATTAACTTCATGTGAAGTTTCACAAAATTGACACTTACAAGTTTTCAAAGAGAAAAATGGTTTTGAGACTGAATTTTTGATACAAACTTCATAGCCTGTAAACAGGAAAACGTGTACAAAGTGATTTATCATAATTATTACATTACGCTGTTTATCGCAATATCGTCAGATAAACTGCTCTTTTTGAAGCAAAGACAAGTGTTCCAATTTGTTTACTAGATTAAGCAAATGTTCTACGATATGATTTCTTATTGCCGACAGAGTCATATTGCATTCAACGAATTAACAAACCCGGATGTGTTCTTTGAACATCATCATCATCCACTCATGCTTGCGCCACGTACGTCGAAACTAGTTTAATGTGTGTCAATCTTACCAGAACTTGTTAAATATATACGCTTCATTGGGGCGCTAATAATGTTCCACAAAATATCGAATTCTAGACATCGGGAATGGTTACAGCGTTGCAATCGAACCGGAGAGTTTGTTCATCATCTATTTTTATTCAATGGCGGAGGGGGGGGGGGGGGTCTCAGAATACGTCACATGATTTGATGAAACCGTCAGGAGGCTATACTGAAGGGCTGATGCCATGTTACCGATCATGAAAAAGATGAAACTAGTCTGTCTATGAAAGATATAATCGGTGGTACTCAACGATGAAATCAGTCTGTATTATAAGGAAGCTGTAGAACTCAACGATTTAAGCTAATGCGCAGGTCTAGGATCCAATGCCTTGAGTGATCTTTTGGAGCAAGGCCACTGGTCTTGTAAATCGTTGCACGTCGTCTTGCTTCTTAAGATCAGAGGCGCCATAATGCGATGATGACGATGAGGATGATCTGGAGGATGATGAGGACCACGAGTGTGTTGACCTTGAGTGATGTGCGTTGAACACGACGTCGCTTGTCGCCAAGTCTCCTAAAGAAAGTTTAGTCAAAATCCAATTCATCGATCATGACACGTCTTAAATTGATTTAAACGAAGGACAATGATGTAACATATTAAAACGCCACTGCACGAGTTATAGCTACTTGCGCCCTTGATATAGCAAACAATTCCTAATCGGTGACCATTGGTCCCCCATGATCCCCTTTTTCTTATGTTAATTTAGAGCTGATTTGATGAGATAACCACCTGTCGGTGACCATGCAGGGAGGTCTCCTGGCAAAACTGGTGCAGAGGGGCTTTAAAAGGCGAATGTCCCGTTAAAGGCGCGTTCAGATATGATGCGGTGAACTGCCGTAGAAAAGAAAACCTGCTGCGGTTATGGAAGGAGAAGGTAGGCGGCCCAAGCTCACCCTCTTTTAAAACTTATGTCACATACTTCAAAGTAAAGCGAAGAATTTATCCTTCCCCGTCTTTCTTTTTTTTTAAAGGAAGAAACTTGGGTTAACCGTTGGCTAAACCGGTGAACCACTGATAAATCATCTTTATCCTAAATCATTTCAGTGACCTGTTGCTACAGAATTTTCTTTAAAAAAAAACAGATGGTAGATAGATGTGGTGTTTTCTTTAGACCTTTAGATAACTCTGAACTACTACATGTATGTTCTAAACCCCAAGTTTGTTTTGTTTTCTCACCTGTCTCGTTGCTCTTTCTGAAGAGTTTGTTCTTTCATGATGCGGTGATCGAGAAGCTTGATCTCGCCCGTGGCTGATTTAAGCATGATGTCGGTCTTCCATTTGCGACGTCTCAAGGTTTGGAGTGCTGACTCGACCGCTCGAGATCTTGCATCTAGAGCTTTGTCGTCTTCCGCGATCTTACAGCAGCCAAGGAGGAACTCTCTGTCGGGATGGAATGGAAGAGATTTAGACAGACTGATCATAAATAAGTGTTCAGTGCCCAGTTTCATTAAACATTTTATTTTATATATATTCAGTGTCACAAGTTTGATCACAGCCAACCTAATGATGATAGTGCTTTACAGCCAGGGACCCGTTTCACAAAGCCCTTTTTCAATGAAAAATGACAAAAATCAGTGACAAATCTGTTGATAACCAATCAGAAGCAAGGATTTCAGTAGCTTATAACGAAAATTTTCATTTGTCACTGATGACAAGTTTTGTGAAATGCCCCCCCCCCCCCCAGGATATCAGTGATGGTAATCCGTTATTGATTATAAAAGTTATGAAACAGGGCGTAGCTTAACGTGATAGGGGGAACGACGTAAAAAGACAAAGGAACAGAGAAATTAGATCACATAAGAAGGCAATGTACAAAGAAGATGATCCGTCTCAACCCCTCCCCCTTAGTCAATTTTCATGTTCATTTGGTTCCATCCCTGCTATATGACAATTAACAAAGGTACATGTAGAAATAGTATTCGAACACCACCACTCACGGTGCCGTGTTACATGATATTCATGATACAAATAGTCAAGTGTATTTGTGGGCTTTTCCGGATCATTCACAATTTAAGGATGGAACCCAGTTTGGACAAGATTCTTTTTTATTTTCAAGATTATTGTACCCCACCCACATTCTTACCTGTAACGATTCTGTTCCTCGTGTAGTTCTTGTTTTGATCTCTCACTCTCCAATCGGGCGTCCCCTACTTCTTGCACGAGCTCTAACAATCGGCCTTCTTCTTTCGCAGTCTCTTTGTCGATGGCTGCCAGGTGACACGTTGCCATAGCGATTCTTTCCTTAAGATTACGTCTATCCATCCCCCTTCGTTGCTGGCCACTGTTCTCTACGGCCATGACGATGATGTCGTTGTTCTGGTATGGTAGTGGCTTATTTTTCACATCGAAATAGCCGTGATTCCAGTACGCACGTACACTATCAACAGCGCTAAAATCCCCTAAGAATCCATTCAGTTCTTTCTTTATGACAATATCTTGACAAGACGCGATTACATGTGGAACCTCTCGCTTGTTCTCCTTTGGATCAAATGTGGAAATGTCAGTAATAGTACACCAGTGCTCGAAATCCTCGGATACACTGTCAAGATAAAGTTCGACATGCTTGGCATTGTCTGATTCTTCTAATAATTTGCGTTCTTCGTCGCTTCGTCTGTCAGGCTCCCCCGACAGTAGGCCGGAATCCTGCAGTGTGTCCGATTCTGCATCGCTTTCGTTGAACCTAGCGACAACCCGATCAAGTGCGTCAGTTAAATCCACAGTGCTGGATCTTGGGGCCAGTAATTTGTTCATGGTCCTAGGATTCCTGGAAAGGTTGCTACCTGTTTGTACAGTTGAAGAGGCATCGTTTGCATATCGAATGGTGGTTTTCCTGGCTGTTTGGTTCCGAAGGACTTCTGATGGTTGTGTTTCATCTTCAGACTCTTCTTTTGAAGGCCGACACTTGCTTTCAATAACACTTTCCTTCAGGGTGGCATCATTCTCCGGATGAATGTTTCGATGCAATAAGAGCTTGTCTTCAATACCCTTCTGCGACCGGTGTTTCATTCTTGTCGTCATTGCCGAATTAACGTTCACTGCAGCGGCCTCTTCGGGATCACGTTCAGTTGGCTTTCCGAAATCCCCAGTTTCAGAAATGGTGCCTTCTGGGCTCTGTTGATTTTCAATTTTAATTTGCTCCTGTATGGCATCTCCTGCGTCAACTGGAAGAGAATCTATTCGTTCTGTAGATGCATGTAAGTGAACTACATTGGGTCTTCTATTGTCATAGCTACAAATGGGTTCCCGTGGAAGATGTGCCTCGTCACCGTCAGCCGTATGACTATCAGTGCCGGCATCTTTAGATACTCCGTCATTTTCTCCTTCGAATGCATTAACAATCTTATCATTCGCATCCTCATTTGAGTAACCTTTGCTATGTTCTTCACTCGGTGGTGATTGTTCTTCCAATTTTCCAGTCACCATCGAGGAGGCATCACGAGAGCTTTGCGAGTTGCCTAAGGTGCCATTCTCTCCTGCAATGATTTCACTGTGAACTGTATGTAATTCACTCGTTTGATCTCTATATACATTTTTGCATCGCATTTCCGTGTTGGTACCATCGCAACTGCGCTGTAGTGAACTCTCTTCCAGCTGTGGTTCGTGTTCCGCTTTGATTTGGGTTTCTCCATCTTCATTAGTGAGCATCCCAGCTTCTTCGAGCTCCACCTTTAGCGTCTTCAGTCGTTTCCGTCGATGCCTGAGTTGGCTCCTCTGAGAGGTATATCCCTGAAATGATAGGGTCGTTGGTTTCCCTTCGTCCGATACCCTCGTTTCAAATGTGTCCTTATGTTCCGGCGTACCTGACCTCGGGACCTTGTCTCTGATATGGATCGTTTCATCCTTGCCGTGATCTGCTTCTACCGTCGCTGATGTGGTGGTTTTATGTCTTCCTCCCTTTGAATCTTTCCGTTCTTCGCTTGCGTCTTCTTGGTCACGGTGGTCCTTGACGGCGAGAGTGTCCTCTGCGGAGGTGAAGAAGTCGTCCGAAGAATAGCTTTGAAAACATCTTGTTCGGGTCGTCTTGCACTTCCTGGGTTGATTGACAAGGGCATGGGGTATGGGGGTTCTATCATAGGGTGAGTCCTTGCTCGTATCGTGGGGTTCTCCTGATATTGCACTTCCGTTGCTATTTGAATCTTGATCTGTTTTGATTCTGTAATGAGAAGAATTGAAACATGATGCACGGTTTTGTGACTTTCAATATCTTCACAACAAATTGCATCAACTGCCAGGAGCAAAGGGGGAATAAACAGGCTCGTAAAAATTTGAAGAAATCTTTTTTTTTAAAGAGGTTTACACGGTTTGGACAGAGATCACAATGAGAATCTCAAATGGTGTCTTTCCAAATTTCAGGAAAACTTTGCCATTTATTTGAATACTGAAAGTTATCAGGAAATTATGTTTCACTTTGTTACACAGCTGCTCGACTACAACGTCAAACGACCAATTAGCGATTTGACGATACACCCGTTCTTCGTGATGTATACTTTCAAAAGATTCAAAACCTTATTGTTTGTCCCAATTTACCAAACTTCTCCTACTAAATATTTCTCCAGTTTTTATGTTGGCTTATGCACAATATGCATATGTAAACATTACATTGTTGCACTGAAAGTATCGAGCATAAAACGTGAATGTCCTTTGATATATTAGTAACTTATGAAAAATAGAGAAATATGTTGGTGACAATTTGAAGGAATAAAATCGGACCAAAATAAGTTTTTTTTTTTTTTAATAATGACCCGATTAAGCTTAAAATCACAGTAAAGCCAAAGGGGCCGAAGTTAAGCATATAAATAAACAGGTGATATCAATCGATCATCTTAGTTTTATTATGGATTTTCCACCAATTAGAATTTAACGTTAAGCTCTCAACGGTCTCGGTAAATAGGCTATTTATATCCAAGCATTTCTTTATATACTTTGTGATGCACGGTCTAAAGAAAGAGGTGAAACATTTCTTTTTAGACAGTTTCCTTCACTGGTATAAACAATCCTCCCAAAAGTTTATTTCTCTTTCATTTACCGTACCGACATAAATTATGAATGGCGGAGGGAGGGGGTCTTTCATCTACAGCTCAACCCCAGACACAGACATGCTTTAGTGAGGCACCTATAGCTCTAATCATTGGATTTTTTTTTTGTACTCAACAGATTCGTAAGGTAACACAACCAATATACCTATTGGCAGGTAAGCCTTGTGCTAAGCAAATCATCCAATGTAATCTACAACTACAACTCCTAGTATATGAAGAGTGGTTGGGTGTCCAGACACTTTTCTCCTTTGCCTTCGGTTGAACAAAAAATATTCATCAGAAAACACTAAAGCCATCATGCATATTCGTCCTAGCCCCACCGCACTAGTTTGGCCATGAAGGATTATACCTCCCTGCATGGTCACTGATAGGTGGCTTTCTCATGAAATAAGCTCTCAATTAACATTAAAAAAAGAGGATCATGGGGGACCTATGGTCACCGATAAGGCACTGTTTGCTATAAAGAGGGCGCGAGTAGTACTGCAGAGGGGCTTTAAACTAAATATTGCTCGTAAACCTCTTCAATTCATGAAGCGTTTTAAATAAACTGCTTGTATTGTCAACCTGTTCGGACAAATAACGTCTGGGTATACTACTACAGTCAAACTTGTCTATAGCGACCGCCCAAGCGAAACACAAAAAGTGGTCGTCGTAGACAGGTGGTCTTTGTAGACAGGTTCATTTAGTACATGTTTCAATGAGAAACCGTTTTCAAGGTAAACAACAAATGCGGTCTTCGTAGACTACTACTTCTACTACAGGTACAGGAAATACCTGATCTAGGTGAGAATTCAGTGCCCAATTCATGAGTACCACTCCCATTATCCGACAGAGGGCGATGTTTACATCTTCAGAAGATCATGCACAGAGCATCACATTTGCAATAAATACTGTGGCTAAAATAACGCCAAATTTGAAATAGATTGCTAGCCTACAAATGTCTAAGACTGCATCGTAGACCTAGGCCTACTAAAAAACAATTCACGTTTTAATAAAAGCGAAAAGACGTGATATATATTTTGAAAACAGAAGCAGAATTTTCCACTTCAAAGTACAAGGCTTTCATAACGTTTAAGATCTGTGAGTGATGGCATGTCCACAGTTTGCGCACTTTCTTTTTTATAAATATTATTAATGTGATATTTGATTCATGATTTCTAACTTTTTATAGACTAGTCTAGATCTAGATTAGTTATTTTTATCGATTATTTTTGGCCAATAATAATCGTTATCGTCTACTTTCAGATCAAATTTGAAAGAAAGTTTCGTCACTAGCTATCTGCAGATTTCCCTTCCATTTTGTGTATCAGAATTTTGTTTGAAACTTTACTGATTATTTTATAAATAGATGGCTCTGCACGCCGCCAACCGCTGCCGCCCTCTTCTTCAACACCAATGCTGCCTATAGATCTATGAGTGGAATGCACTTTCGAAGATCACCCTTGACACTACTTCACTGGAGGGCTTCAAGGGAGCGCTTCCATCCAGCATCTAGACCAAGAACTAGATAGTTTATTCCTCAGCACTACATCCTGACTTATGGATCCTGCTGAGTATCGTCGTAGAAGTAGAAGTTATGAAATATGGGAATGTGGGTGAATTTATTTAGGTCATGCGCGAATTATTGAACAACCACACCACCATGCCCATAAGTCATTGGGCTTGGTTTGAAAGGCATCCGTTACTGTGACCCTGGTGTGAATTTGATACAAATCATACAGAATAATGTTTCGTCAACGATCAAATTATTAAATGTCAATGAAACGTTAAAATGTAAAAACTCACGATTTTGCAAAGAGACGTCCCATGCGATCACGCGTTCCCTTGACGATGGAACCAGTGAAGACGACTGTTGCAAACACAATCACCATCTTGAATGTTGGTAAGTTAAGCTTCTTTCTAGATCCTACGCCTTATCCGTTGCCATGCTATTTTCTGCTGGAAACAGTTACCATCTTAATAATATTAATATGAAGAGGGAAAGGGATGAAAGGCTCTGGGTAAGGGCGTTAACTTATTCGTCTTTAATTCGAGACTTCTTCCCACTTAGAAACCCAGCTCATCCCGGCGGTTTAGCACCTTAACCTTAACCTTAACATTTCCCGCCTTGTTTCTTTTGTTTATTGGCGTGCTGTGCCTGGGCCACGTACGTCTAGTATGTGCGCGCACCTGGCAAATGCGCGTGACACCTTTTTGATAACGCGGTACTGTTGTTTAGGCAACGCGCATGTAGTGGCGTAGTGTTTGTTACGTCATTAATAAAGTATCCACAGTAGGCACTTTGTTATTTTGCTCGTTAATTAGCCTATATGCTCCATGTATGTCGCTTCTACTTCTACTTCTATGGTGATACTCATCAACGCCTGTT